TTGCTGAGCAGTCGAAGGATCCAACGCCGTTTCCACGGCTTGAATTAACCGCTTAGAAACTTCTTCAACTTCAGAGGCAGCCATGTTTGAAGGCCTTAGTATGTCATGACACTGATCACATAGTGTCCTTTAAAAGGTTTACCGCTACTCGACTACAGGCTCAAGTGGGATTTCTGTACTTTGTAAGGCAGCTAGGACCGGCAGCTGGCATTCCACAAAAACCGATGCAGTTTGCCTCGAAACTGCCTTGATCTAAAAGATACAGTCTGTACCTTCATCAACTAAGACTATGCTTGCAGATCTGGTTTCAAGCGTGGTTGGCCGGTCCTCAAATCGCCCGAGGACTCTGAGTGGGCGCGCGGCATCTGGCTTTGCGCGAAGGCAATATGCATCTGAAATTTAATTGTGTGTTTAAAGTATTTGATTTTTAATTTCTTCCGGCTACATAATGGCGGACGACTCGTTCGTTGAACCAAAAGCATCGGAAGAACCTTACACGAGGATAAAGACCCTGGGAAGAGGAGCTTTTGGCGAAGCAGTTTTGTATCGCAAAACGGAGGTAAGAATAGATTTGTTCAGTCTGCAGTTTATATCGCTGCAAGCAAATATCGCAAGCAAAACACAGCACGTATTTCTTTGGCAGGGCTTTGGCTGCGGTTATTAAAAATAATGCTCTCGCAAATTTTGCATTTTTCAAGAATAATGTCAGCGCTTTTTTTGCGATACATTTTTCTCATCGCAAAAAAATTTCCCTTTCCAGCAGGGTTTATACTGAATGCGGGGGTTGCGAATAATCGTTTCTGCAATGGTAAATAAAAGTTACTCCCTTCCCGAGTAATCGAGTTGTTAATGATTCATTATCCTCCAGTTGTTAGCAAGTTGATGTCTCTTGACCTTTTATTTCCTGTGGCAATTATTTTAAGTCGAAAGTTGTCTTGAAAAGCTGAAATTAAACTGGTCTAAGCTTAATTAAACTGGCTTATGGAAGTGTGTCATAAATGAACATTTTTCGAATTTTTAGACTGTACTCTTTTATAATAATTATACAGCTTTCGGGTTTCTCAAAAGCCCGGAAAAAGGATATTTTTACCATAGTTTTTTATTTACGTTTGTGAAAAGTGACACTATAAGCAGGGTGCTACATCAAATTATTATTAAGCTTATCATTATTATTTCAAGTGTCAAAGATCAAACAACCGCTGATTTCTTGAATTATTATTTTGAAAGAATAGCTAAATATTTCGTAGTTTCAGATATTTAGTAAGGAGTAAACTCACACAAAAAAGAAACATGTGAGGGGAATTGTGTAGTACATAAAATACTACACTAAGAAGGTTTGACATCATATTTATTGCATAGCTTTGAGGTAATCAAGCATGGATTGTTTACCTTTGGTCTTAAGAGTTTAATAAGCACTTGAAAGTTTAAAAATGTCAGGCATTCATGTATGGATGGAGAGGATCAAAATAATATCTCTCTACTATGGATAATCCTTTTGCAGGAAGGAGGTCATTCTAATATTTTAAAATTTGATATGTCTAGACAATGGAGACCTTTAAATTCAAGGAGGACGACGACCATGAGTACAAGATTTGACGTGAAGTTTTTTCTCGTCTTCTCAAAATACAGACCTCCCAGAAAGCTTCATTTTACCATTTTTCACTAGAAAACTTAGCATTGTTAACTTTAGTGAAGGTTATGCGCTCTCCCAATCGCAAAAATGATAAAACTTCTAACATTAATTGGTACATGTATCTTGTTTTGCCACCATGACGTTCGCCCGAAAACTCATAGTAGAGTGATGAGGGCTACCACATTTTCCCGCCAAAATGACCCTGGCTTACGTGCGTGCACTACTTAGTATTGAGAAATCTCCTACTTGTAGTCATACTCGTCTTAGAATCGAAAGCTTTCTATTAAATATACAGACGGTCGAACCCTTCGGCTTCCCATCTTGTCACAATTGAGGTTGGACAGTCTGCTTATAAATTTCTGATAAGAGATGTATTCTGGTAAAGTAGTACTTCACATAGCAATCTGAATATAAGCAGTTTTATTATTTACTTTTCTCAGTGAATTTTGTTTATATGACTTGCTTGTTGAAGGTACTGTCAGTGACATAAAGGCCTTCTTTGGGAGGGGGGGGGGGGAAGGGTACATATGTCCCTGGTCTGAATTTCAAAAGCGGTTGTTTCATGTATTGAAGAGGAGGCTATGTCATTGTCAGTATTTTGCTACCAACTGTGTTTGCCATTTTCCTCGTCACGGTTGCAGTTTTCAACCAATCTTCATGTCGTTTGTTGCAATTTCATCTGTCTTATGTCCCTGTTTTAAGGCTGTGTCAGTTGATGTAATTTAACTTTAACGGGGCCATAGAGTGTATTTCTCTTTTAAAGATGGAGAATGGTGGGTAAATTTAAAAATCCTGGATCTTGGAAAATCTGATCTCTAAAAGTCTTGGAAGCGTTGTGATTTCCTAGTTTTTTTGTTTTGTTTTGTTCTTTTTTTTGTTAAGTCTTTTTAGAAGTATTTAGCTAGAAACTACTGACAGATGTATTGTTTAATACAATATTATTTTTTGACAAAAAAGAATAATACCCCTTCGACTGTAAATTGCCAGTATTCACATAACCTTGGATCTTTAGTAATTTAATCTATATTTCTTGTCAGGGGAAATTTGATAATGATCAAGAGTGGACCTTTAAGATATGACTAATTTTTACTAAATAAATATTATTCTTGTATGAAGGCAAGAATTGACCTGCCATTTTCTGTTTTGTTGTTGGCTTGTTGTTTGTCAGGACAATGTCCTTGTGGTGGTCAAAGAGGTCAACTTAAGTCGTGCTAGTGACAAGGAAAGAGCTGATGCTGAAAAAGAGGTGGATATCCTGTCGCTGTTGAATCACACCAATATTGTAACATACTATAATCATTATATCGATGGTACATCACTTCTTATTGAAATGGAATACTGCAATGGTGAGTGTTAAGCAGTTCTTTACTTTCAATCCACTTTTTTTAAAGTAAAAGGAAAAATTGTTATTTACTGTTGCACTATCTCTTTCTTTAAAAGAAATAATGATTAAAAGATGCCCTTATCCATTTTATTGTTATTTAAATATTCAGGCCTGAAATGACTTAAAATTTGGTGGATTAATTATGTCTTCTTTTATTCTCAGGTGGTACACTGAATGATAAAATATGTGCACAGAAAGAACTTTTTGCAGAAGAGGTAAGCTGGGGGAAAACAATGACAGTGTACGTTGCTCCTTGCACCTATCCTGTCGTCATGGTGACCGTTAAGGCACCATGGACCTAGCAACCCTTTCGCTCATTTGATTTTGTTTTCAGATTCTTTTAGGGCAACGCAAAACTTCAACCCTTATATCCACTCAGAGATGTTATTCTCCTAATGCTTCTTTTGTTGGCCCCTTCCTCTCCCTCCTTGCACTGTTCCTTGTAAAATTGTCTTGGCAAGCCCTGCTGATCTTGATACATGCCCAAACCACTCAAAAACTACAGTGGACACTCTTTTTCATACTGACTGATTTACTCTGTTTGGAACAGAAAAGCAAATAAATAAATAAATAAATAAATAGACTGAAGGTATTATTAAAACCTGGATGAGACTATATGAGATCAACCCACTGTTCATGTAACTATTGAAAAAAGTTACAGCTAGGGTTACAGGGGTTGATTTGATCCAGTGCGATCTAGGTTTTGTCAATGGCCATGACTATAAGGATCCATTTAAATAATCAACATTTATGGCTAACACCAATTTTCAGCTAGTTCAGAATAATTTTGAACTACTTGAAAATTTGTAGTAGCCGCAAACTTCATTTGAGGGATTTACAGTTAAATTATTTTAATTTTATTAACTTACTCTGCTGTGTTGCTAAAATACACTGTAGCTAAAAAATAATCAATCATTTTATTAATTTATATTTTGCTTTATGACAGATAGTAATCTGGTATTTCTTCCAAATATGTTCTGGAATGAGTCACATTCATGAATGTGGTATTGTTCACAGGTAAAATAGTTAATGCAGGGTTATAAAATAGTTTTTTCGAAATGCTACGACTTAGTGTTAGTTCTGTGCTACAGAGCTCTAAAATGGAGCCAGCCTTAAGCATTATACAGGTGGGAAAAAATGATGAAAGAGAATACTTGCCAGAAATATATAATTTTTGTAGCAATTTACTTGTATACCCATAACCCTTTAAATGCCCCCCCACCCCTCCCCTTCTAGTACTCACATGCAAAACTAATAGCAAAACATGTATTTTGAATGCTTTGAAAAAAGAAAAGAGGAAGACGGCAAAAAGTAAATACTCTAGGACGTAATTAATAACATGTTAGCCAGATATGGTTAAAAATTTTTGTTGTTTGTAATTTTGGTTATTTGGAAATAGTTGATATACTTTTTATTGTATAAGACTCCAAATTAAAAACATGTATGTATGTATGCAAATTCTCCCAACTGATTTCTTCATAAAAGTTCATTGAAGCATTTTCACTTGGGTGATCTGACTTATTTGATAACTTACAACCTTTCGTCTTGATCATGTATTGATTCTTTTTTAGAATAATGGAGTAGGTCACTCTTGAGTCTGAAAGGAAAGGACTGAAGGAAAAAAGATATCATCATATTGTTGATTTAGAAATTTATTTTTATTCCATCTAGAGACATCAAGACACTTAACATTTTCTTGACTAAATCTGGGTTGGTGAAACTTGGCGATTTTGGTATTGCAACTGTGTTAAAAGGATCAAGAGAATTTATGGCTGAATCTGTAAGATTTCAATCTTTGTTGTTGTTCATTAGACAGAAGTGGTTCCTGTTTTAACTTATGTAAACTTTTTTTTTGGGTGCCCCGCATTGTGGAAAACTTTGTTAGGCCTTGTACACAACTTCTGTGCTTAAACCAGCAGGGGGGTACCAGGGCGGGGGAGTTACGGTGACAATTGCAAAGCAGTTTTGGGGTTTGCAATTCAAGGTTCGGATATTTTTAGGCAAGACGAATGTGGCTTGNGAAAGGACTGAAGGAAAAAAGATATCATCATATTGTTGATTTAGAAATTTATTTTTATTCCATCTAGAGACATCAAGACACTTAACATTTTCTTGACTAAATCTGGGTTGGTGAAACTTGGCGATTTTGGTATTGCAACTGTGTTAAAAGGATCAAGAGAATTTATGGCTGAATCTGTAAGATTTCAATCTTTGTTGTTGTTCATTAGACAGAAGTGGTTCCTGTTTTAACTTATGTAAACTTTTCTTTTGGGTGCCCCGCATTGTGGAAAACTTTGTTAGGCCTTGTACACAACTTCTGTGCTTAAACCAGCAGGGGGGTACCAGGGCGGGGGAGTTACGGTGACAATTGCAAAGCAGTTTTGGGGTTTGCAATTCATGGTTCGGATATTTTTAGGCAAGACGAATGTGGCTTGTAGTTTTGGGTGGTATAAAATAATATAATTTAACCAGGGAGTAATACTTTCCAGGGGTAAAAATGTAAAGACTTGTGTACATATAATAATATTATATGCAATGTTGTCATTTAATTTTCGTCTTAGCTTATATTGTCAAGCCAGTTGATATTTATTTTCAAACCAGTAGTTATTATTAATTTTCAAACCAGTTTCAATTTGTAATGTCCAGCTGTAATATATTTTCACTGAAGAGTGAATGCATTTAGTATAGAGATCTTAGCAGTTTTTGACAGGATTTAAGTAATTACCATCGGGCATGAGTGATTAGGGTATTAAAAGCACCTGTTTTAGTGATTGGGATTGAGTACTGATCTTATTTCTCAAAAAAATCATGAGGCAGAAATGTGTTAAAAGTGCTCACCAAGTAACTCTTGGTGTTGTGATTCCACATAGGTTGTTGGTACCCCATACTACATGTCACCTGAAATAGTCCAAGGACACAAGTAAGTATTTGAGTAGCTGAAGTGGTGTGTTGATTATTGATTATAATAGGATTTATAGTAAATCAATTTGATGATCACTTTGCTCAAATAGATTAAAAGTTCATTTTTCTAGAAAAACAATTTAAACAAGTGCAAGTGTCCCTGTTATGGACTTTTTGTGGCAGCTTGATTTAAGTCAGGTCTTGAAAAAACTTGAATTCCAGCTTGTCATTTGGGCAAGCTGCTCTGACGTTGTGCTTGCCTTCGTCCACTTCTTGCTGGTTTTATAATAAATTAGTTAATGATTTTGTTAGAGGATGCCTAACCTTAATAGAAGTTACTTGCCCAGCAAGAAAATTGACTCATTCCAGACTACTGGACGGGGCTTGGCGAGCCCTGAAAGACTTAATGTGCTAGATGTATGCTTGAATTTCACATGAGGTTGAACTAACCTCCCTGGCTTATTATTTTAACAGGACAGTGTAGAAAATTAAACTTTAATATCAAGCTGACAAACAGTCCCAAAAGAATTGTTTACTTCTATACTATCATCATGATTTTTGCCAGGAAATTATGATGGGCAGCTGTCAATATGGCAAAGGTTAACAGATAGTACATCTATTTGCAGATACAACCAAAAGAGTGACATGTGGGCATTGGGATGTGTTTTGTACGAGATGCTCACACTGAGAAAAGTGTTCGATGCAACAGTAAGTTGAAATGTTTTCTTCACTACCCTTTAAAGAAAAACTTAGACCAAGACTTGACTTCTCTTTAATAATACAGTTTCAATTCATACATTTTGTTGTTTCTTTATTTCATTTGTATGCTCCTTTGAAAGTTTAGCAATAATCCAAATTTTCCTCTCCATTTCCTTGCTGAATCAGAGGATCAATTCAATCATACAACACACAAATGCCTTATTTGAAAATAATGTACACCAATTCATTCTTTCTTAATTTGTAGAATCCTCTGAGACTTGTGTCTGACATTGTCAAAGGGCAGTATGAAGAGATTGACTCACAATATTCAATTGACATGCATAGTTTGGTAACAATTCTATTATCACAGGTATTGTTTTAAAGTTTATTTAAATAATTCCAAAAATTGATATAACTACACTTATGTCCAGGTTTGCTTGCAGCTTGCAAACCTGGACATATCTCTACCACTAATGGAACAGGTACCTAGAAATACTGTGTAAGCCTCAGGAGACTCTTAATAAACCTTTGTCATGCGACGGCCATTTTGTCTCAGGAGATTTAAAAAGCTTGGTTTATGCACAGCTAGCCTCGTAGAGAGAACGAGGTTAGCCATGCATAAACAAAGCTTTTTAAATGTCCAGAGACAGAATGGCCACACCATGAGAAAGGTCACTCTGTAAGTTGCTACCACCTCAGACAAAACTGTTGAGTTTTCTAACTTTTGTGCCATACTTCCATCTCCTCTAGACAGAAAAAGTAAGAAACCCTTCCCACTCCCACACCCCTATTCAATGTTGTTTTGGTCTAAAACCTATTGTGTATGATTCTTGTGTTATCCTAAACAACATTGGACAATTAAAGGGCGGGGGGAAATCGGGCATTCATTTCGCGACAGTTTCCATTTCTGGCAGGATGACAGGAAAAAATAGATACTTTTGTGATGTGTCTCAACATGTTTTGTTCAAGGTTGTACTGTATCCTGTCTTCCTAATTTGTGTTGTCTTTGGTTGTGGGGACAAAAGGAGAATTTGGCATATGATCAAGAGTCACTTCTAATGACTTTTTCTGTGTATTCAGAAAGAGGGCAAACATTTGGGTTCATGTACATGCAGATAATATCTTTTGTTTAAGGAACTCTGCAAGAATCTACATCCAGAATCAAGGCTCTGGAAAACACATTTTAGAACTATTTTTTGAAGTAAAACAAAAATCCCAGAGTGGAGGGGGTACTCTGTTCCCTCCGCTTTCCCAACTCCACCCATGCGAATTGCACCCCTTTTTTGAGTGCCATAGACCACTGCCCTTCCAAAGAAAGTGAAAAGTGTACATTAAAAGTGGAAAATGTTCTTTTTCTTACAATAATCTCAACCACCGATAAATCCTTAGCTCCAACAGGCAACTTTTAGCAAGTAGCATTTTCTTTTGTACTCTCCCATTTGTGGAATGTTTAACTTATTGACTTGAGATATTTATGACAATCTTAGAATCCAGATGACAGACCAACAGTTGCAGAAGTTCTAGCTATGCCCTTACTAAGCAGTTTGGGAAGGTAATGCTGTTTTTCTACAGAAAAACAATAGAAGACACTCATTGTTTGGACAAAAAATATAAGAAACTGCAAGGGCAATAAAACATCATGCTGAATTCATTCAGTTTTGCTTAGAGTGGTTTTCGTTTGAGTGTCGTAAAACCAAAACCAAAGTAATTACTCTGGCCAATCACATAGGACACAGACAATACATTGAACCAATCAAAACTCGAAGTAATTACATGTGGCTGACGCAAAAGTTCATGTACATGCAGATAATATCTTTTGTTTAAGGAACTCTGCAAGAATCTACATCCAGAATCAAGGCTCTGGAAAACACATTTTAGAACTATTTTTTGAAGTAAAACAAAAATCCCAGAGTGGAGGGGATACTCTGTTCCCTCCGCTTTCCCAACTCCACCCTTGCGAATTGCACCCCTTTTTTGAGTGCCATAGACCACTGCCCTTCCAAAGAAAATGAAAAGCGTACATTAAAAGTGGAAAATGTTCTGTTTCTTACAATATTCTCAACCACCGATAAATCCTTAGCTCCAACAGGCAACTTTTAGCAAGTAGCATTTTGTGTTGTACTCTCCCATTTGTGGAATGTTTAACTTATTGACTTGAGATATTTATGACAACCTTAGAATCCAGATGACAGACCGACAGTTGCAGAAGTTCTAGCTATGCCCTTACTAAGCAGTTTGGGAAGGTAATGCTGTTTTTCTACAGAAAAACAATAGCAGACACAATCATTGCATGTACTAAAAGTATAAGAAACTGCAAGGACAATAAAACGTCATGTTAAATTCATTCAGTTTGGCTTACTGTTGTATGATAGCAGTTTAAACCTATCCCCATCTCTAAATAAAATTAAGAGGTTGGCCAAGTAATACTCACAAGAAGAAGAGTAGTCAAAGCTGTCATAAAAAGACAGGACCCACCACTCCACAAAATGACTGGACGTGGTGGTATCTTCGTGTTCTCACTTTTTCTCAACATCTCAAAGTTGGGTTTCAAATTTTTTCTTTTATGCCATTTTGTCCTTATTTGAATAACTAGGTAGGGGAGTAAAGAATTGTAAGTTCAGTAACCTGTACCTTTTGTCAATTCGTATAACTTTTTTCTCTTGAAGGGAAATGCAAAAGAAAGTTTGGGAGTTGAATGCTTCAACCAGAAGAGCAAGGTAAGTGAAATGTTCCAAACGTTTTTAATAAGAAGTTAGCTCTAACAAGTTGAAGGATGGCTTAACCTGAAAGTAGATTGTACAGGATGTACAACAAATAAATTGAAGGCATTTAAAAAGGACTTTCTAAGTGTAGTTATGGACTTCTGCTCCAACAATTTTTTTGAAAAATCTTTGGTAAACATGCCTATTATATAAATAATACCTGATACCAGAAATTTTATCCGAAAATAACGGCAATTTTTTTCAGTAGATGGCCAATTTTCTCTGGAAAGTATAGTCCACTAAAGCACCAATTTTGTTAAAAAATATTTATCACCTATAAAATTTACTTATTTTTATATTATTGCCAAATGATAGGTGTAGTTTTCCTTAAAATTTTGAACCCAACTTGTTAAGACCAAAAAAGTCATGTCACCCCATAGAAAAAAATCCAAGACAGTCTTGGATTCTTTATTCCAATCATTAGTGGGATTCTGGATTCCTTGAGTTGTATTCCAGATTCCTAAGCGCCGGGTTCAGGATTCCACAAACAAAGATTTCTCGGATTCCAGAATCTGGATTCCCTTAAATGGAGATTAAGATGGCATAAAGACGTCACGCTTTGCAGCTGTAATAACAACGGAGCCACCTTGACTTTATTTCTAATAAAACGCGTCACAATTGGCTTTGGTTTTACTTCTGATTGGATGAAAAGGTGGCGCGAATCTTTTAAGCCAATCGCATCGTGTAGAAAGTGCAAAACCAATTACTTTTCGACACTCAAATGAAAACCGCTCTACTGTTGTAAATTTAAATGACAGTTTAAACCTATTCCCATCTCGAAATGATATTAAGAGGTTGGCCAAATAATAGCCACAATGCAGAGCTATTCTAGAAGAGTAGTCAAAGCTGTCATAAAGAGACAGTGGCCCCATCACTCCACAAAATGACTGGCCCGGGTGGTATCTTCATGTTCTCACTTTTGTCAACATCTCAACGTTGGGTTTCAAATGTTTCTTTTTATGCCATTTTATCCTTATTTAAATAACTAGGTAGGGGATGAAGATTGTAAGTTCAGTAACCAGTACCTTTTGTCAATTCGTATAACCTTTTTTCTCTTGAAGGGAAATGCAAAAGAAAGTTTGGGAGTTGAATGCTTCAACCAGAAGAGCAAGGTAAGTGAAATGTTCCGATGGTTATTAAGAAGTTAGCTCTAACAAGTTGAACAATGGCTTAACTTGAGAATGGATTTTACCGGATGTACAACAAATAAATTGAAGGCATTTAAAAAGGACTTTCTAAGTGTTGTTACGGACTTCTGCTCCAACAATTTTTTTGAAAGTTATTTGGTATACATGCTTATATATAAATAATACCTGATACCAGAAATTTTATCCGAAAATAACGGCAATTTTTTTCAGAAGATGGCCAATTTTCTCTGGAAAGTATAGTCCACTAAAGCACCAATTTTGTTAAAAAATATTTATCACCTATAAAATTTACTTATTTTTATATTATTGCCAAATGATAGGCGTAGTTTTCCTTAAAATTTTGAACCCAACTTGTTAAGACCAAAAAAGTCATGTCACCCCATAGAAAGAAATCCAAGACAGTCTTGGTTTCTTTATTCCAATCATTAGTGGGATTCTGGATTCCTTGAGCTGTATTCCAAATTCCTAAGCGCCGGGTTCCGGATTCCACAAACAAAGATTTCTCGGATTCCAGAATCTGGATTCCCTTAAATGGAGATTAAGATGGCATAAAGACGTCACGCTTTGCAGCTGTAATAACAACGGAGCCACCTTGACTTTATTTCTAATAAAAAGTACTTTCAGACTAGTAACTATTAAGTTACATGTATAAACTGCATTATTAGAAACTGAATCATTGGATAATGCAATTCTAGAGCTCTGATTGGCTGAGCCATCATTATAATATTTTTCGGGTGGAGAGAGGCGACGACCAGAAATACGTCGGCGGTTCGCAGGCAAAGCCATCATGGTATATGAGCCATTACACCATGCTCTACAAATATGGTAACTGTACGCGTCTGCTCAAAATTAAAAACAAGATGAAAATCGGTTGTTTTTACAAATACAGTCGGGAAGAATCCTCGTTATTTTGTGGGCGTTTCTGATAAAACAATTATTCCACTCGCACTTGTTGGATATGAGATGATTATAGCCAACTCAGCGCTATGCACCTCATTGGCTATCTACCATCTCATATCCAACATGCACTCGTGGAATAATTGTTAAGTATCTTTTTCTTACCTTCACCTGTCATTTGCCTGCTTTGGTTTATTAAGGCACGCCAGTGGATCAACAGAAGTTGTCCCCATTATCACATCTAAAAGTAGTGAGGTAAGTATCTGCATTAAAGCATTGAATTTGATGGGTCCTTGTATCATCCCGGGCATCATCTTTTCAAACAGTATCATTGATCGAATTTATACTGGAGAAAAATTCTCTGTCTATACGAATAATCCATCAGACAATTCGTCTACATGTAGATATAAATTTGTGAAAATGAATTGAGAAGGATTTTTGGCATCTTTGTGTCAGTCTAGTTATAAATTTAGAGAATTGTCTCAGACAAATTCTCCGTCTGTTAGGTATATATTAACAACCGAAGATGAATTTTTTCTCAAAATTCATCTGATAACCGGAATTATATCTAGACGAATAATTCCTCTTTATAAATTCGGCCATTAAGTTGGGCCACACTTTAAATCCTGTCCATCATTTTTCTTTTTTTTAGTTTTTGTTTTTTATCACAAATGGTAAAAATTTATGTAATTCCCAGAGTGATTTATGATACAAAAGCCAACGACAAAGTTGCTAGTTATGTGATGAAACTCTGTGTTTATTTTTGATGTATTACTCCTATGGCTTAAGCACTCATTTTACGGATTAGGGTTAAGCGCTGTTATGGTTAAACCCTTATTTACAACACTTACTTAGTGGCTTGCTGGCTCGCATTGTTTACTAACTAATTCAAAATGATAGGAATATACTATCTGAATGTTTTACGAGGTCAAGTGGTAAAAAGCTGACAAAATCTACCATTTAACAAGGTCGTTGGGCTTCATAGCCATGCATGGCACTTAATTAACCATGGTGGCACTAACAGCTTTCATTTTGGTTTGAATTAGGTGTTTTACTGGGGAGGTGGTAAACAAACT